TTGCTGCTGCTTGATAATGCGCCTGCCCACCTCAAAATTGACACATTAACCTCACAAGATGGCAAGATAACGTGTATGGCACTTCCTCCTAACACAACCTCTCTCATTCAGCCTATGGATCGGGGAGTTATCTGTGCCACGAAGAGGTTGTACACCAAAAAGATGCTAAACGAAGTTTTGGTGGTTTTGCCTCTTCCGGAAGATATTGAACTCGGTGTGGATAACAGGGCTAAAAAAAACTTCAGAATTTGAAGAACTATACAGTCAAGGAAGCCATCTATAACTGGACCAAGGTGTGGAGTGAATTAAAGGAATCGACTTTGAAAAATTCCTGGGAAAAACTCCTCACGTCTACTGTCAGAAATGAGGAGAATGCAGAAATGGAGGATGCAGAAATGGTTTCTAGTTGAATATTTAATAATTATATGTGGCATGGCAATTCAAATTATGTTGTTTGTAGTATAAAAATAGTTAGAAATTATTAGTTTTGGACTCGTAGGTGAAAAAGTACCGTTATTCGAAAAATGTGTTAATCCGGCTAGGGGTACTTCCCATATAGTCCGGATGATCGAGTGGAGACAGTACTTTCTAACTTCAGAATTGCTTTTAAATACATGGATGGAGAAATACTAAAGAAATTGTTCACAACTTTTGTTAGACCAAAGCTGGAATATGCAGCGGTTGTATGGTGCCCATATCTTAAGAAGCACATCAACAAACTGGAAAAGGTGCAATGACGTGCCACTAAGTAGCTCCCAGAACTGAAGGACAAGAGCTATGAGGAGAGGTTAGAGGCATTAAATATGCAAAAACTAGAAGATAGAAGAAAAAGAGGTGATATGATCACAACGTTCAAAATAGTAACTGTAATCGATAAAATTGATTGGGAAGAATTTCCGAGACCCGGAACTTCAAGAACAAGAGGTCATAGATTTAAACTAACGAAACAAAGCTGCCGGAGAATTATAAGAAAATTCATTTTTGTAAACAGAGTGGTAGACGGTTGAAACAAGTTAGGTGAGAAGGTGGTGGAGGCCAAAACCGTCAGTAATTTCAAAGCGTTATATGAAAGAGTGCTGGGTAGATGGGACACCACAAGCGTAGCTCTCATCCTGTAACTACACTTAGGTAAATAACGTGTGTATAGAGTGTAATAACAGCAATAGGAGTATGAGGGGAGCCAGCATTTTGATTAGGGAGGTGCGTCATCTGCACGACTTGTCATGTTGTTTACTGGTGACCACTATGGTCTTTGGGCACCATACCAGCTTATTTGTACAGGTATGGTGAATATAACGTTGATACTTATATATAATCTGTGTATATAGTGTAATAACACCACAAACAGTATTGTTGGAGGAGAAATATTTGTGCATCTGGCCTTGAAGCAGTGAGGGCAGCAGCCACCAGCTGACTGTGTGTGTGGCTACATCTCTTATTGCTTGAACTCGCCATACAAGCTTAGATGTACAGTTATAGTGAACACGTACTTATATTTAACGTCTGTTTATAGTGAATAAAAGCAAAAACAGTATGGTTGGAGGAGTATGTTGGCGAGTGAGGAGGTAAGTCAGGGAGTGGTGGCGAGTGGCTGGCTGGCTGGCTGGCTGGCTGGCGAGTGGCGGCCACTCTTCGTTGCTTTTTGACTCGCAATGCCAACGTAGTGGTTCGTTATGGTGAGCAAAACATGCAGATATGTATATATACCATGTGTATATAGTGTAATAACAGCAAAGCTATTTGTTTATTGTTTTATGAACATAATAATTGAATCACTAAAATGAACATAATTTTGAGTACAGCGATGGTTCACACATATTATTATATAAATATATCACAATACACACTATTGAAAAATATTACGTGTACTGTAAAAAAAAAAAAAAATCAGATACTGAAATAATTAGGTAATAATATCTTTGTGGCAACCCCCACCTGATAGCTGGGGCAGAGCAGACCTCGTCTGGCGACTACTCTGTCAACGCCTCTTTTTTTTTTACCAGACTTCCCTGTTCTATTGTGCCCAAAATATGCTACCTATGATTTTTTTTCCCCCGTGATCAGGGAACACAAATGAACCCTTTTGTAAGACAAAAGAATTTTTTGGAATTTTTTTTTGTTGTGCCTGTGGGTGTTGAAGCCATTATGACCACCGGGTAGCCGGCCGCTGAGCGGACAGAACACTGGACGCGTGATCCTGTGGTTCCGGGTTCGATCCGGGAGGGAGTGAGTGCAGCCCGCCACTGGCTGCCACTGCCACTCAGCATACCAACTTAGTGGTTCGTTATGGTGAACACGAATGTAGATATTTACAGTAGAACCTCTATTAACGAGTTTAATCCGTTCTGGCACCGAGCTCGTTACCTGGAAAACTCGTCTTTGGAAACAAATTTCCCCATTTAAAATAAAGGAAATAAATTTAATCCGTTCCACTCCCAAAAACATCCATACTTGTATGACTTTTTTTATGTAAATATAATACTGCACATGTAAATATAAATGTTTTGTTGTAGTGTTTTAATATTTACTTTACCTTATGAAGAGTAGTTGCTGGCTTGAGGGAGACGATGGAGAGGTGGGAAGGAGGAGAGGGGTTATGGTGTGGAAGGAGAATTCACCTCTGAGTCAGGCGGACTCTCTCTTCTTGGGAATTTTACCCAAATTTCATTTCAAATGTCACACAAGGATGCGTTAGACCAGCACCAAATAAAAAAACTACGTTGATTACACTCGTTGTGTCAACAATATAATAGTCTTACCACGAAGATACAATACAATGCCGTTTTCTCAAATAGGCAATGTGGTTATTAAAGAAAACGGAAATTTCATGGCAAACATGTATACAATCCCCAAGTCGATCGGATAAGTATTGGATTTTATAGAAATATTTGCTCAAATGATGCTTGAGCGCGGTGTTTGGGTGCATTCAAGAGAAAAAGTGTGTTACGTTCAAGCGACATATACCGGCGAAAGTGATAACACTTTCATAAAGTGTTATCACAAAGTGATAAATTAATTAAACATTTTCACACACTGAGTTGTCACTGCTTTATCAGGGCAGCTTTTCCAAGAATGCGGTCACCTTTTCAAACATTCCAAACACTTCCCTGATCTCAGTGGAAGAGGCAGCATTCTCCCTTGCCTCCTCATTCCCTTACTAATGGTGTAAATTGTTGATGAGGACCTGCCATACTTCCTTGTGAGATCAATCACACAGACACCACACTCATGCTTTGCTATAATTTCCTTCTTGAAATCCATAATAATTGTGTCTTTCTTCCTCTTGAAAACACTATCTTTAGCAAGCAGCTTCTTTGGAGACATCGTGTGTTACAAATTGTAGTCGCAAAACCACTAAAAACCCAAAGAAAAGCTCAAATAAATCCAGAGGGATGCTTGTCGTGTGAGATACAACAACAACACTGGCGTCGGAGGCGTCCGAGAATTTGCGAGAACCCGCGAGACGCTAGGAAGCGCCATGTGGTTTCACTCGTTAATAGAGGCGAGCTCGTCAATAGAGACAAATTTGCTGCGAGTGGCTTGCTCGTTACTGGAAAAACTCGTTAATAGAGCCACTCGTTAATAGAGGTTCCACTGTATATATGACGTGTATATACAGTGTAATAACAGCAAAAGGAGTGTGGGGGAGAAGCCATTTTGGTGATCAGTGTGGCAACATCTGCCTGATTTTATCATGTTAGTAGGGGGTGGCCACTATGCTCTTTGGGCATTATACCTGCTTAATTGAACAGTTATGGTGAACAAAACGTGTAGATATTTATATATAACATCTGTATATAGGGTAATAACACCACAAACAGTATTGTTGGGGTTGAAATTTTAGTGTCTGACCTTGAATGTGTGAGGGAGGCAGCCGCCACCTGACTGTGTGTAGCGACGTCTCTTAGTGCCTAAACTAACTACAGTATATCAACTTAGTTGTAGAGTTGTGGTGAACAAAACATGTAAATACTTATATATAACGTCTGTATATAGTGAATAAAAGCAAAAAAGTATTGTGGGAGGAGAATGTGGGCGAGTCAGGCGAGTTGAGGGAGGAAGTAACAGCCAGTGGCGGGCTGCCACTGGCTGCCACTGCCACTCAGCATGCCAGCTTAGTGGTTCGTTATGGTGAACACGAATGTAGATACTGTACTTATATATAATGTCTATAATAGTGAATAAAAGCAAAAACAATATGGTGGGCGGAAAATGTGGGCGAGTGAGGTGTTGAGGGAGTGAGTGGCAGCGAGTGGCTGGCTGGTGTGTGGCGGTCACTCCTCGTTGCTTTTTGACTCATAATAGCAACTTAGTGGTTCGTTATGGTGACCAAAACATGCAGATACTTATATATAACCTGTATATATAGTGTAATAACAGCAAAACTATTTGTTTATTTTTTATGAACATAATAATTGAATCACTAATATGCACATCATACTTTTGAGTATAGCGATGATTCACCCCTTTTATTATATAAATCTAACACACTAAACACTATTGAATAATATTACTGCAAAAAACTAAGAAAAAAATCAATCGAAGACATTGAAATAATTAGGAAATAATATCTTTGTGTCAACTCCCGCCTGACAGCTCAGGTGGAGCTGACCATCTCTGAGAACTGCTCTGTCAACGCCTACATTTTGCCAGACTCCGTCGGCCTATTGCGGCCAAAATATGTCGCCTACGATTTTCTTTTTCCCTGTGCTCAGCGAACACAAATGAACATTTTTAGAAGATAAAAAAATAAAATTTTAGAAATTTTTTCTTGCGCATGGGGGTGTAAAAGTCCTCAGGATCCTTTAGCAGCTTAAGGGTTAAAAATAATTTAATTAACAAAATAATTAATCTGAGGCACATAATTATTTTTATCTGCCTGAGTTTTTAGCTAAGTGCTTCTTGGTTGGCTGACCATGACTTTGTATTTATCTCTGCTATTTAACAAAGCTTTTTTATATGCTATATTATACAAAAATTGTGTTTTCATTTTGTTGTAGGTGGTGTTCCTCTTGCTACCTTAAACCTTCAAGTGGGTGTTGCTCCGGGCCAGACAATCCCAGATGCCTGGCACCATCAGATGATCTTTGGCGTTGGCCCGCAAGGAATTTATTTAACTAACCCACTGGAGTGCGTTTCCGATTGTCTGCTCGGAGATCAGCTGTGTACGGACTCTGTGCTCTTAGTACGAAGAGCAGATGTGGTGAGCAGATGGGGCCAAGGAGACAGACTCATCAGATTGACACGGCATCCCGATACAAGATGGCGGGATATGAATGTCCTTGGTATAGTACCTGCTCTTGAAAGCTGTCAATTATTATTTTGGATCTTTAAAAAGACAGATTTCCTTAATGAATGCTTGATTTATTAACATTATTTTTCTTGTACAGTATATGATAGTATATTTGTATATGATAGTGTATGGAAAGCTTTACACTTGTGTATGAGATGGCCAAGATATTATGTGGTGGTTAAGCTTTCCCATGATTTTAATGATTAGGGAGATGTCTTATAATCTTGTTCTTCTTTCATTGGGTTCATTCTTGCTTCTTAAAAATTATATTCTGTAAGTGCACCTTTTGGCGCATCACCAAACTCTATCCAATAACAATTATCTGCCAGACTGGTACTAAAGGAGTTGAACCTCATGTCCCTGAAAAACAGAAGAGTAAGGGGAGGCATGATAACCACCTACAAAATTCTCGGGAATTGACAGGGTGGACAAAGACAAACTCTTCAGCGCGGGTGGGACACGAACAAGGGGACACAGGTGGAAACTTAGTACCCAGATGAGCCAGAGACGTTAGAAAGAATTTTTTTGGTGTCAGAGTAGTTAATAAATGGAATGCACTAGGAAGTGATGTGGAGGAGGCTGACTCCATACACAGTTTCAAATGTAGATATGATAGAGCCCAGTAGGCTCAGGAATCTGTGCACCACTTAATTGACAGTTGAGAGGCGGGTTCAAAGAGACAAAGCTCAACCCCCGCAAGCACAATTAGGTGAGTACTAGAATCTGGTGCAATCATTTGAAGGAAGGTGACAGTGGCTGGTGGCTGAGCGGACAGAACACTGGACGCGTGATCCTGTGGTCCCGGGTTTGATCCTGGGCGCCAGAGAGAAATGATGGGCAGAGTTTCTTTCACCCTGATGCTCCTGTTACCTAGCAGTAAATAGGTACCTGGGAGTTAGTCAGCTGTCACAGGCTGCTTCCTGGGGGTGGAAGCCTGGTCGAGGACCGGGCCGCGGGGACACTAAAGCCCCGAAATCATCTCAAGGTAACTTCCAAGAAGGTAAGGAGAGTGCAGAGATCTTGGACCACTGCAGTAACCAAAAGATGACCAGGAAAGTAGATCACATCAAAACAGATAACTGCTTGGATCATACTAGCAACACTGACCCTAACTATGTAAATAGTCATTATCTGGGTTGAAGCACTGGTTTGCCACACTCAATCACCACAAGATGGCAACCCCAGCCACCGAAGGCCCCAAATAACCCACCCCATCATTCATGTGTCTGGTCCAGTTCATCTTTCCAAATAAGTATTGACCTTCCCTTGGACTTTGTCCTGCATTGGGGCCTGTTTCTGAGAAGAGCCCATTGTAACTTCCTGAAGCTATACAATAAGATGGTTCCCATGTGCTTGGTTTCATCAGGTGTGTGTGGAGCTCTACGGGGGACTAGAGCCAGAACCTAGCCGCCCCCCCCACTCGCACAGAGGCACTGAGAGCGGTGACATTTTGCCACCTCACCGAGGAAGGAAACCAGAAAGTCGGTGAATCAAAACAACCCACTGGAAGTTTGTTGACCATTGTTGACAAGGATGACAATTTATTTGAGGTGGGCATTGATGACTGATCCAATGTACTTAGTGGCAGCCGGGAAAAAGTATACAATTTCAGTTGGGCGGTGGATTGTTGCCTCTCTACTTTTTCCTATTGTGGCTGTCTATGGTATAATGGTAGAGCTTCTGCCTCACACTCACAGGGTCAGTGGTTTGAGTCTCCTCATGCCAAAGTGAATGAAACCACTGCAGGGTTCAAAAGAGAATGAAGCCTCAATTCTCCCCTAATGAACTCCCCGAACTATGTAAACAAACAATTGAATTTTCTCCAAAGTAGAGTGACGTTCGCCTCACCTCCCCCCACTCATTTGGGGGGGAGGGGAGGAAGTGGCTCACTGTCTGCAAGTGTCTGAGCCATCACTTCTGTCGCTGGTGTGATGGTTCCCGAGTAGCCTTTCTTCCAAGTAGGCTCCTCTGTTCAACTAAGTAGTTTAGGGATTGCCTATTGTGACTTTAGGAGTGCTTGAAGTTGCATTTGCTCAGTGTTATCTTTCATGTGTGCTCCCTAGAGCTGGCCCTTGCATTGCCACAGTTTCCTTTCCTGGAGTGTTCAGGAGTCGCTCCCACAGAGGTCCTCCTTGATTGTGGTGGTCCTTGCCCAGGGTGAGTCAGGGGTCTTGTGGCTTCTCTGTCTTGATCCAGGTCGGGTGCGACTTTGGCTGGCCGGGTACATTGGTGGTTCGCAGGATTCCCTTCAGTGCAATAAGGGTGGCCCTCACAGCCGTGTGACCCTGGCTGTGTCGGCTTACTTTTAGATCCGGCGTATTGTCCGCAGTACTTGTCCTGCTTGGTTTATCCTTCAGGCCCTGGAAATGCCCTGCGGGTTTGGTGGCTCCTATGCATATCCCCACGAACCTGCTCTCGCCTTGTTTGAGTTTAAGGGTTGCTCGTCATCTGTGCCACACGACAATACTCGTGTGGGAAGTTGTGGATCAGTTAGAGTAGTGGACTATATAAATTGTAAATTATACAATTTAGTATAATTTATAGTCAAAAATAAACTTTGCTTAGTTATTTAATTTTAATGATAGTCATTGAACTTATCCCATTCAGTGGTTATTCTATAAGTTAAATGACAAGTTCAAGGTCTAGTACTCTGGTCACTGTTCAGATAACCAAGCACCCTGCATGAAGAGATAATAACACAGGACAACACTTCAGTGGAGCTCGGCAACACTTGTCACACGAGCCTAGACTAGAGTACTGTACAGTATTAATTTGTTGAGTAATGTACAGTCCTTGCAAGCCAGTCTGTTAACTGTAGTGTTTTTATTGTTGTGCTGGCTATGGCTATGCTGGCCATATGCTATATTGGCTTAGTGTATTTATCCAGTACCTGGGACATAACTGCCCCATTACACTTGTGCAATGAGATTCTTTGTTCAGTTTTCACCAAGAACATGCTTCAGCCATTGAGCATTGTCATGTTCATCAGGTGGTAAACACCAGTACTGAAAGTAATGAAATGGCTTTTTCAGGATGAGCTCCAGTGGTTCTTTGAAGCTATCCTGCTGAGATGGCTCTCAACTACTAAGTCACATCAGCCACAGAGTTGTTATTGGCTTACCATGGACCGGAGCCAAAACCTGGGCCCCTCACAGAGGCATAGAGAGCAGTTGATGCTCCATCACTCCACCGAGAGAGCATCCAGAACATCAGCAAACCAATACAGATCACTACTGGATTAAAAAAACTGAAGCCTCAAAGCTGCCAAGCGAACTCCCCAAACACTGTAAACAAATGATTGAATCTCTTGCAAATAGCATGTGCTAGTTAACACTATAATAATATAATAGCACTTGAGATCTGCAATTAGGATGATAAACTAATGATCATAAGTGCATATAGTCCACCACCATGCAACACATGGTCAAAGGAGGAGCTGGATAATAGACGTGAGGGTCTTATAACAATAATGAGAGAGATTATAGCGAGAGCTGATAAAGATCGATCACGACTGTTGGTAGTCGGCGATTTCAACTTGAAATCCATAGACTGGGAGGCATATGAAGCTAGAACAGAGGATTTTTGGACTTGTAGATTCGTAAACCTCATCCTGGAAACATTCATGTTTTAACATTTTAAACAAGCTACGAGGATGAGGGAAGGGGACGTTCCCTCCATGCTGGATTTGATATTTACAGGAAAGAGGAAAAGATATTTGACATTCAGTACCTTCCTTCCTTGGGTAAAAGTGACCATGTCTTTTTGGGAATAAAATATGCAATGTGTTATAATCTGGTAGAAAATGAGGTTGAAGCAGTTGAAAAGCCTGATTTCAGGTAAGGTCATTATGGGGAACTCGGACATTTCTTTAAGGAATTTGACTGGAAAGACTTGCTGTTAGGACATGAAGTAAATGAGATGTATGTCAAGTTTTGTGACATATATGATAAAGGTACAACAAAATTTATACCAAAGCAGAGATATAGAACTAGGAAACAGGATTAGTTCAACAGAAATTGCGAGAGAGCCAGAGACCAAAAGACACAAAAATGGAATCAATGTATATAGAAGAGGCCAAACCCCCAAATATTTCAGCGATTCACAGCTGCAAAAAACAACTACACGGCAGTTAGGAGAGAGGCAGAAAGAAATTTTGAAAAAAGGAATAGCGGACAAATGTAAAACAGAACCGGGCCTATTCTACAAATTCATAAACAACAAATTGCAGGTAAAGGATAATATTCAGAGGTTGAAAATAGGAAATAGATTCACAGAAAATGAAAAGCAAATGTGTGAAACATTAAACGAAAAGTTCCGAAGTGTGTTTGTACAAAATGAAATCTTCAAGAAACCAGACACAATAAGAATTCCAGAGAACAACAGAGCACATAGAGGTGTCTAGAGAAAGTGAAACAAATGCTTCTGGAGCTAAGTAAGAACAAAGCAGTTGGTCCAGATAGAGTTTCACCATGGGTTCTGAGAGAATGTTCACTTGAGCTCAGCATTCCACTTCAACTGATGTATCAGGCATCCCAGTGTACAGGAGTCGTAGCTGTTGTGTGGTAAAAGGCTAACATAGTTCCAATCTACAAAAGTGACAGCAGGGAAGACCCCCTCAATTATAGACCTGTATCATTGACAAGTGTAAGAGTCAAAATATTGGAAAAAATAATCAAAACTAAATGGATAGAACACCTGGAGAGAAATGATATAATATCAGACAGACAGTATGGTTTTTGATCTGGAAGATCCTGTGTATCGAATTTACTCAGTTTCTATGATCGAACCACAGAGATTTTACAGGAAAGAGATGGTTGGGTTGACTGCATCTATCTGGACCTAAAAAAAGCTTTCGACAGAGTTCCACATAGAGGTTGTTCTGGAAACTGGAAAATATTGGAGGGGTGACAAGTAAGCTTCTAACATGGATGAAAAATTTTCTGACTGATAAAAAAATGAGGGCAGTGATCAGAGGCAATGTATCGGACTGGA